AACCACTCAGCTGTCAGTCCACATCTTTCACCATTAGTCTACCACTAGTTAAAGTCACCATATGACTTTGTCAGTTTGTAAGATATAAACATTTGAACAAAGTTTAGCAGTGCTTCTTTCTGAACTTTCACACTGCATTAAACACATGGCTACGGTTATTACTAAATAGCTGAAAATAATCTTATACTGAACACATGCTGTCTACCTTAAGCCAAAACAAATAGATGCACAGTGCTTCTTTTTCGTTTGAAGTCAATATTTGCAGCATTCGCAAAAGTTTTTATTTCTGAGTGAAAAAAAACATCCAGCACAATTAAAAGGGCAAGATTTTATCCACTGGGAATTAACTGGATGGTGTAGTGGGTGTTTTATAGAATAGAATAGAGTCAGAACCTAAAAATATTGACAATATCATATATTGCCAGCACACACTTTTGAGGAGGCTTTCTGACCAAACATGAAGACAGAAGGTCAAGTCCACTATCGAGAGCATCTCAACACGTCCCCCACTGGTAACGCTTGTTGTTGTTTTTTTAAATCTAACATTATTTGATATTATTGCCATAACTTTTACTACATAAACAAGGACAATCCCATACAAGTATCTAAAGTATCTATTTGGAAATTGGTTAAAAAAAATCACACACTACCGTTCAAAAGTTTGGGCTAAGTAAGATTTGTTTTTTTAATGAATGCTTTTATTCAGCAAGGAGGAACTAAACTGAATAAAAGTGACAGTAATGACATTTATAAAGATTTCCATTTCAAACAAACACTGTTCTTTTAAACATATATATATATTTTTTTTTTTTTTGTTTGTTTTATAAATTATATTTTAAAAATATATTCAAATAGAAAAGTTTTCAATTGTAATTAATGTGACAATATTACAGGTTTTACTGTACTTCTAAATAAAATAATGCAGCTTTGGTGAGCATAAGAGACTTCTGCCAAACTTTGAAAGAGACTTTTAAAACAATGTTACCATCTCCAAACATTTTAACAGTAGTGTAAATTAATAAAAAATAACCAACAACCTGCGAGGCCTACATGACACCAGCTGAAATGGAAAGTAGTTATTTTGTTTTTATGAAAGATTATGAAGACCATTTTCTTTGAAATACACTGGCAAATTGTACACAATAAGATCAAGATAATGCATTAAGAAAGTAAACAGCATCAACTTGGGGTGCAACAGCACACAAAGACAACAGGTCAGTATGTACTTGTTTTTGAAGTCACAGCTTGTTAGTTTTTTTTATTGGATACACAAGGGGGAAAACTAAAAACTTTTTTTTTCTTTTTATCAAACAGTTGATGGTCGATTTGTCTCTGTCGACACACAAAAACAAATCTACAACACACTCTTTGTACTGCAGTTTATGGTGTTGTTGCAAATAGGGGTAGAGAATTTAAAGTGTTTCCACTTTTGGATGCAAAATTATCTCTTAGTCAGAATTGTTGCACTCTGTCTATTTGACACACATGCATTTGTTGACACTCCTTCAGCGAAGTCTGTCAAGTTAAAAGGATACTCGCTTTACTGTGAGCTGTAATGAAAAATGGAAATACTGGCATGACTTTCTAACATTTTATCAGAATGTAACAACTGTAAGATGTCATGCGTAAGTTATGCGCTGAGGAAAATAGTCTCAAATGCATTAAACATAACATGCATCTGACAGGTGAGCAAGATTGTAGGATCATAAGTTATTTTAAAGCACATCTCATGCTTAGGACAACTTGGACCGTGCACTTTTCCCGCAGCCACTCACTCGGGTGTCCTCCATTATTTTTCAGATGCATTCGCAACATCAAAGTATACTGATATAAACGGTATTTATTTCTGAAGGAAGACTATCTTTAGAAAATGTTCGATGTCCTTTTCATTTCATCTTGCATGTTACATGCCTGATAAAGCAGCGTTTGTGAGCTCAGCGTTGCTTTGTGTACAGCCGTTTACTGGGGAACCCTCTGTTTCTCCTGCTTTAAAGCACCTCCTGCTGGCAGAGAATTTGCTTTTTCAGTAAGTCCGTCTGATTTACGCAGCAAACATATTTTCATATTTTGCTTTTCCTATATCCACGGGCGCTGCGGATAATCCGCAGGTCGGGTAATAAAAATGCATTCTGATTATTTGCGGGTGGGTCGCGCGCGGGTGGATAAAATAAATCAAATGATGCAAATATTGACTACACTTTTTTTTTTTTATATCTTTTTTTCATGAGGCAGACGATTTCGTGTGTGTGTTCGTTCGCCTGATCGGGTAAGTTGCAGTGACAGAAACGGTGACATTCCAGATAAAGTTTGAAAGGAGTAAAGCCTGTGTTAATGCTATTGCGTAGGCTAATATGGCGAAAGAAGATATTTTGTTTTGTAAATACATTTTCATTTAAAAGCAGCCCACAATTAGCGTGTTATGTTACCGTTATCCCTTACGGCTCCGACGAGGTTTTGTTCAGTCCTCCACGCTGTGACAACTCACAAAAGACTATTTTTTAGCCAAGCAGCATGGAGAGCCGCTTCTGAAACATGCTGCGGCTGGTTGATATAAACACAAGCATAGAGCGGCCGCAATCCCGTGGAGCCGTAACGCGCCGCAGACACGTTCAGTGAGGCGCAGATCAGCTCTAACGTCACTGAATCTGCTGTTAAAAATGAACCATCCATTCATCATATCATAATGCAAAACATACATGATAAATAGCGAATTTTTCATTGTTTCTAGAAACGTCATAGCATTTCCACACCAACGATTTATGTCCCCACGCATCATGTACGTCGTCAAGCGTTGACGTCATCAAATTGCGATCGGTTCGTGAGATCGGGCCAAGTGTAGTGAGTACCGATCGAGCCATAAAATGTGATTATCGGCCGATACCGATCTCCGGCCGATCGATCGGAGCATCCCTATGCAGGATACAAATGCACACTTCACACGATCTCACAGCTGGATTCGACTAAGTTTGCAAGGTTTGTGAAATTAAATGTTCATTAGTCATTCAAAGATTTGTTTAAATGACATAAATGCGTATTTGCTGAATGCTGACGGCAAACGAGAAAGTATTATAATGTTTGCCTTTCTATTACTAATAATATAATACTTTGTATACATTTTAATTCCTTTGTTTAACCGTTCTATCTGATTATTAGACAGACTTCTATCCGTATTAGACAGAGCTGTTAACGACGACAGCGAACAAGAGGGAGAATGTGAGCACTGTGTGCTCAGGCGCTGCCGTTCTCAGCGCCACCAAAATAAAAGTCAGTCACGCCGTCAAAATAAAAGTCCCGCCTCGAATGCATCGGACAAACAGAAAAACTTATCGGCCAATGCCTATATTTGAAAAAAAAAAAAGCCAAATATCGGTCGATATATCGGCCTTGGCGGTATATCGGCCGACCACTAATCTTAAGATCTTAAATGTCATAGATATCAGACAAAGCAGAAATGTCATTTAGAGGCAAAAATTGTGCACTATAATCAATGGTCTACTGCAATGTTGTCACACTTGTGTTCTTTGAGCATTAGTCATACGCGAATTGGAGAGTCAAGAACATTTGTTAAGCTACGGATTATGGAAGTATACTAGGCAGAAGAACCCATGGTTTGGTTATGCAGAAAAAAGGATTAAAAAGGACTAACATATTGTAAAGATCAACCAAATTATGTGCCCTTTTACATATGCTAAGCTAATGCGTTTTGAATATTATTGATTAAAGTATACGTATTTCATCAGAAAGAAGATAATAGCCTATTAAGGACAAAAGAGCTTGCTTAGTTGACATTGTTTGTTTAAATGGATTAGTGTCAGACAATTAATTGTTCACATATGGCACATGAGCTCAACAATTAAATGCAAATGTCTCAGTCAGCTCTGATAATGAGAATTCTAGCTATGTGGCATGAGGTCACTGCATAAATATTGGTTGTTGTTGTGTACATGTGTCATATATTTGTGTACATTAAAGCAGCAGGTATAAGTCAGTGTTACAGTTCACTGATGAAGTCGAGTGTACAGTCATGCCATATCACTTCAACTACTTCATTCAAGAGCTGCTAAATACACAACTGCAGTCAAATCATGCCGATTTCCTGGCTGACAACTTAAGCTCAACAATACCAGGATTCTTCAGGAAAACAAACGTCATTCAATACTGCCTAGCCGAGATATTAGAGATGCAGACAGTTATGAACACCTACACGCCAGTCCTTCCAACTTCCTGGAAAGCCCTTTTCATCGTTTTTGGCCTGGGATAACTAGATGAGTGAAATTCTGATTAAAGTTATGAAAAAAGTATCTTCTATCAGTTACAGTTATACAGACTCCACTATTTACCTTATAAACACAATGATCAACTTCCGAACACTATTTATGAACTTTTATTGTAAATATATTGTACATAATTGTAAAATATACAGTAATATTATATAAACATATATAGTGTGTATATATATATATATATATATATATATGTGTGTGTATGTGTGTGCATATTCATGTTAAATAGTAATACATATATAAAACAAATAAATGATACTGCATAACAATTGTAATATTGTAATATATAGAATATTGTAAAAGCATGATTTAATCTAATATGTGTGCATGTTAAATAGTAATATTTTAAGTATAAAATACTTTAAGTAATCTGATTATAATATAATTGACTTGTTTAAATATAATTTAAACAAATATATAAATGTACTAAAAACATTAAATATTATATTACATATAAAGTATATTACATACATTTAAAAAAATGTTTAGAATATTAATTATTTTGAGTTTTAAATATTACAGACATGAGAGCTAATGGGCTACATTAGACCCAAAATACGCCTCAAACCTCCACCGGAGCGCAATGGTGCCGTATTAACGGCGAAACTGAGGTAAAAATCACACATTTTAGACGCTGACAGTGGCAATATGTGCGTCAAAGCGCGCTGAGCGTCGGTGTCTTGTGTCTGAATGGTTATATTTGCTGCTGGCACTCACCAGGAGTAGCTCTGCTCCGCCATGTCAGTCAGGCAAGCAGCGGCTGAGGACTCGGGTTCGGCTCTAACGACGAGATTATCACCTCCACACGCTCACGGTTTCGCCTTATTCACTGAGCCCCTCCGATAACAACATGGCGATGTGTTTTCCTTCGGCAGCTCGCAGCAGAAATGACAATGATTGTGGCTGTCCTGCTAGCCGCGGCTAAGAAACAAAAGCAGTCCCGGGAAAAACCCGAAACGTTTCGCTGACTTCAACTGGCTGGCTGTCCTCACAACAGGCCCCGCTTTCAAAAGCCCTCAGATGAGCTGCAAACCCATCTTGCATCTTGGGTCAGAGAGAGCTGTGTGCTTGGGTTTGCCCCGCTAGCTGTAATGGAAGCGCACGTATAGCTTATAGCTTTATTGCGAGCGCGCGACTGTCGCCCCTGCCAGAGGAGTGCGCGTTGACGCCTTTGCCCACACAGATGAGACTAAAGGACAGGCTCTGCCACTCGGTGACATGCAGTATTGCAGCTTCGGCATGCTTCTCAAAATTGGCTTGGCTGAAATAATAACAGTAGGCCCACGTTTAAAAAACAAAAACAAGCGTGAAAAAGGCCAGGAAGCTGCAAATGATGTTAGCTTTGTGATGGAGTCTGTGATAAATGAAATGTAACCTTTACGAAAATTAACCGTGGTTTTATTGTAGTAAAAGTGTAGTAACCATGTTGATTACCATTTGTATAACCACAGTTTTACTACACCTACCATGGTTAAACTATGGTTAGTGTAGTTAAACTATGGTTAATTTGTGGTTACTGTTGTTTAACTATAGTAAGCATGTTTACATTTGTAGTAAAACCATGGTTAATTTTCATTAGGGAATCAGAGAATATTTAATTTACTCATTTCTTAAACAATGTAAATATTGACACTCAATATAAAGATTAAACATAGTGTTATAAGTGTGATCCTAGACCATCATCTAGACCTAATGTTTTTTGTTGCTATTTCTTCCTGGGGAAACCGGGGCTAGTTGTCACAATTTTTATGTCAGTGAACATTTCTCAAAGTAGGTTTATTTTTGAAAGTCAGTTTATGTATAGACAGTCTTGACTACAACATTATTGCATATTTACACTATTATTGGATATTATATAAAAGATACAGTTCACTCAACACGTTTACATCAATAGTGGGGCATGTTGTCACAATGGAAACCACCATTGAACAGCCTACACACACACACACACACACACACACACACACACACACACACACACACACACACACATAGCGTG